ACAAAAATAACCTAAGGAAGGAAAAGACCTACACAATAAAAACTATGGCAACCTTGTACCATTAGCCCCTGCCCCATTTCTTCTTAAAAGTGAACATGGATTTCCGGTGGGCCTCATCAAAAGCAAGTGATTGTGCAGCTACCTATCAGCTATGATTCTGGCCCTCATGCTCGAGAGAACAGTTAGTCTTTAAACTGCAAACATTATAATAAGAAAACGATACGCTCTGCAGGCCCTGGGCTCACATGTCTGTAATCTTTTTTAAAAGGTGTACAGTATCTCTGTAGCTCATTTCTTCACATAAATGAAATCCTCAACTAAATCCAGGCAATACGCTCACAATGAAGGCAATTATAAACTCCTTATACCTATCCATGCAGATTTTAAATCCTAGTCCAATATAACGGTGTATTAGAAAATAGCTTCCTATGTTTGGCACGTACCTAACTGGTAGCATGGGTTCCAAACCAGTATGATGCCTTAGATTCTAGCCAAGGTAACACACAAACACACATACACAGCCAGTATGTCATAATTAAGCGATTTTTTTTTAATCTTAACAAAGGTAAATATAGTTTAGAAAACTATAATGGAACTCATCACAAAAACTGACAAAGAAAAATCTCATTTGATTATTTGAACCTCGGCATAAATATTTTCTAAAATTCAAATTCTACCAATTATTTCTTAGAGGCCTCTAACTGAAAAATCCAAATGGATTAATAAGTAGATAAAACAATGTACCATAAGACTGCCATGTGGACACCAAATGGAGTCACGGTGCATAAAGTACCTTAGGATCACAAGTAAGTCAGTGATGGTCCCTGTCTCTACTGTTACGTTACATGAAATCAAACTTCATGTGTAGTGTGATCAGGCAAGAAGCAGAAATAAATGATGTCAGGATTGAAAAGAGGAAAAATCACTCTGAAGAAATGATAAAAGTACCAAGATGTCATATTTGAGAACAACGACAGGAACCCTCATGGTGCTGAAGAAGATCAAATGAAAAAATAGTGAGTGTTTTTCCTAGTTTTAATACCCACTAAAACTATGTCAAGATAGTAGGGCTAAGTGGTTCCCAGTGGAACACAAATTATAAACAAGGCACTCAAATTGTTTTTCTCTTATATTCAGTGTGCACCAACTACCAAGCAACCTAAGTCTTTTATTTGATTAAAAACCAGTTTTTAACATATTAGAACTTAAAACAGAAAAAATATTTTGTTATTAGTAGACTCAAAAGTGCAAGAATGGACCTATGACTTGTGAATATAATGAACATTTTGGTGAAGAAACTACCTTGTAAAAATAGATCTACTTAGAAGATTGAGCATGTATCAATTTTTGCACAGACTTCTAATATCTGCCCTGAAAGGTGGTAACTAACAGATGTTCCACTCTGCTGCTTCATTCAGTCTATGTTAATCTGTTTTTTTATAGAAGAAAATGCCTCCTCACCTATTATTTTAAAGGAAGTTTCTCTAAGTCCTAGAGATGAACTTATATATCAAACATCTACATATCCATAAAACTATAAAATTGTTTCATAAAGCATAAAACTAATGTAAACAATATCAAAAATTCTTTAAAAATCTGTATCTTCAGAGGAAAAATACAATAAATAAAATCAGGAAAGATCTGAGTATGTTGAGAATGAATAGTTAGGTTTGATCATGTGATTATGCTATGAATCCATCAAATTTTATCATTATTACAAGTATACTGATAATACCAGTGAATCAACTATAATTGTGACAATAGAATAGATTCTCTTCTGAAAAAGAGAGGACAGTGCTATACTTTTCGTATCACAAATAAAAAGGAGTGGTGTCCATTTCCACGGTTTGGGACATGCTATAGAGTTACAATCATTTAAGTCTGAATGACAGACAAAATATAAACACACTACATTCATAAGAAAAACCAAGAAATACCTATGCCTCATACAAAACTGAGATTTGATAAGGCTGGCTATACACACCATCAAGAAGTGATTGATCCTGAGCAACTGATTTGATGGTAACAATACGCAATGGAATTACAATGGTGAACTCCTACCATCTTGTCTAGTGAAACTCTACATTATCTCTAATGTTTTATCGAAGAATTATTTTCTTATTCTCTTTAATGGTTTGAGCAATCCTTCATTCTTACATCTGGTAATCTGAGCAATGTAGCTGAGGACAGCGATATGCAATATAACAACCACTGCTGAATTGTATTATTTTGTCTTGAGACCTTGTATCACTTGGAATGTTCTTGCTTTGATTTGTTTATGTTCGTGATACTGGTATGCTGCTACTGTTCTATTTCTTTGTTTGCTTGTTTCTCATATACTATTATCTTTAAAATAAAAAAAATTTTAAAAAAGAAGTGATTGATCATTCCTTCATGGTGGTAAACTCATTTTATGAGACAAGTAAACAAGATTTTTGAATCACAAACATTCAAATTTGCACTTCAGGCAGATTCAAGACAAAAACATGAAATATGAATCTATAAAATATAGAAGTATAAGAAATGACTTTCTGATGTAAGAGTGAAGAAAACTTCAGAAATAAAATTATAAAGCCACAAACATTAAGGTGACACTATAAGGTTATAGCGTACAAGATAGGAGTTGTGTTCAGCAAAGAAAATCCTTGATTAAATTGACATTCAGATGGACGATCAGAAGAAAGTATTTCGATTCTCTACAAGTGTCAAAAAATACTTTGAATAGAAGAAAGATTTCACTAAAAAGTACTCATCACATATATGAGCACATGGTACAAGCAGATAGTTTACAGAAGGGCCTACACTGAAAAGAGAAAAGCATCAAAGAAAGGAAGCACAAAAGAGAGAAAAATGAAAATTAGCAACTGAGTTTCACTGTGAACCCATGGCATTCTTCAAATTAGGGAAACTCTGGTGTTGCTGGTTAAGGGAAACAGCGGCCCCATGGTGGTGGTAGTGTGGGTGGGGTATATTAAGCTTCCAGGTGCAATGACGAGCATAAACTTGGTCATCTGTGGCCTTTGCTCAAATCTGGATGTAGGGCAGCAAGAAAGACAATGTTCCCGGTGGCATTTATATTACTGACAGAATTTGAAAAGCCCACTCTCCCTTAAATGTGGACAATGCGAAGAAGACGCTGTGGTACCCGGACACGTTTCCTGAGGTACGGAATCACCAGCAGTGAAACCACTTGCTTAGCAGGTTCTCTGGACACATAAGCTCCTGAACGGCAAGGTACCCGAAAATGGCAAACAAAGACCCCAGAACTGGCTTCTCTCTAACTCTGCATTCCCAAACCAAAGCCAAGTGACTAACCACATTACTCCCAGTCTGTACTTGTATACGCTCTTGTCCTTCCCATCCGGGATGCATTTCTGATGACGCAAGAGTGAAAAACCACAGGCGCCTTGTTGTGGCTTGTGTTTGAATGTCCCTCCCAAAGCTTCATGCGGCCCCAGGGGGGCCTCTTTCAGAGGCGGCCGAACGAAGAGTGCGTGACTGATTCAGGATGCAACTCTAGGACTCGGGTATAAATCAGTCCACTGATTGGTTTGGTACCACCCTAACCCTGGTAGCCTAGATAGAATATAAAAGGGGCAGGAAAACGCTGCTAAGGTCCTTTTTGCTCGCTGGCTTTGCTACTTTCTGCCCGCCATGAAGTGTTTATCCCCTGCGACGCTCGCCTGCCATGCCACACTGACTTGGACTCAGCCGACTGTGGACTGAAGCCTCTACAACTGCCAGCCAAATAAACCTTTCCTCCCTTAACTTTCGGCGTCGGGTGTTTTGTCTCAGTTATGAGAAAAGTAACCACGATGAGCTTCCACTGCTCGCTGCTCCATGGTGACGAACATAAGAAGGTGCAGAGGACAGATTAAAATGCACTGGAAACAGAAGCTTTTTTTTTTTTTTCCAGTGCCGGGGATCGAACTCATGACCTTGCGCTTGCCAGACAGGCGTTTATGCCACTGAGCTATATCCCCAGCCCAGAAGCTCTGTTTTATCTGCCCCTTTCCTGAGGCCATTCCCATGGTCTTCTCTGGGATATCAATAGGAGACGGCTGACTTTCGGACGTGGGGAATCCAGACCGACCCAGAGCAATTTCAGGGCCCACAGTCTCCCATCACTTTTAGAACACAAAACAAAGGGGAGTTGTTTTCTCTTTCCAACTCAAACTGCGTCTGTAGTGTTTTTTCTTCAACTCTTCACAAAGTGCTTTGCTCTACAATATGAAGTTCATCAGACTGTTTCTCTTCTAGTCCTGCTTGAGTCGGAAAGAGAAAATGTCTTGATTAAACTAAAGGACGTTGAAAATAAAATATACGGGGGCTGGGGATTTAGCTCAGCGGCACAGCGCCTGCCTGGCAAGCGCAAAGTCATAAGTTCGATTCCTGGTACGGGAGGCGGGGGGGGGAGATGGATATAAAATATACTGAATAGGCACTAAATATACCTAATCTGGCTAAAGCGTTGTTAAGCCTTGACACCATTAAATCTGCTCAACACACTTACTTCAATTTGTAGTTATACCTAATCTGGCTAAAGCGTTGTTAAGCCTTGACACCATTAAATCTGCTCAACACACTTACTTCAATTTGTAGTTGTAGAAAATAATGTAATGCAAAGCCTAATTGATGACAAAGTACTAAATATCTCAGGTACTTTACTGAATGTAGTTCTGTTTTCCCTTGATGTCCATCGCTGAAACAGCAATGTGTCCTCCTGCCCAGCGCCAAAAGCAAGTATTATACAACATCCCACGAGCGTGCGAACGAGTACAATTCAAAAATAAAACTAAATTTTGCACTGAATACTTACCACTTTTATTCTTCAGTACTACAGATTGAATTCATATTGCATATTAGACAAGTTTCTTTAGAATGGAGACAGACCCTCGGGTGTTGACACAAGGTTTTACTCAACTGTCCAGGCTGGACTTGTTTTCGCAGTGCCCCCGCCCCAGTGTTCAAAGTGTCTGGGATTAAAGGTGTGCACTAACCTGCCTCACCGAAGCTTAATCCACCCAAGCACAGGCATCCTGGTTAACGGTGGCGATTAAAGAACTCAGCCAGGAATGGTTGCATATGGCTATCATTTCAGCAGTCCAAGAGGCTGAAACAGGACTGAAAATTCACCCCAGACAACTTAGATTTGGCCTCAAAAAAAAAAAAAAAAAAAAAAAAAAAAAAAAAAATTAAAAAGTGTACGGGATGTATCTCAGAGCAAAATTCCCTACAATTGCCTCCTATAAAATGAAAATATCAATCACCCCTTGTAATCCTTTGTATCCTGAAGAAACTCCTTCCTGTTAGAATGATGGTGTCCACCCAATTTTTCTTTTCTTTTTTTCTTTCTTTTTTTTTTTTTTTTTGGTACCAGGAATCGAACTCATGACCTCAGGCTTGCCAGGCAAGCACTTATGCCACTGAGCTACATCCCCGGCTGTCCACCCAATTTTTAAAGCTACAAGACCAGTTTATCGATTTCTAATTTTGCTTCAAAAATATTTAGATGAACTGATCAGCAGTAACAAAAGACCTATTTATCTAACTTATACTAAGATTCCCCTCTTTCCGCCAGGCCTCTGATCTTTGGCCCTCTCTTAGACCAGGCCAGCACACAATCCTTTCTTGTTCCTTCTAAGGACAGCCCGACCTCAGGGGAAGACCAACGCTGTAAGTGCTGATTTCTACCCCCTACCATCCTCATGCCTCACATTTTTCTCCTTCCATTTGTTCCTCCCTACACAGACAACCCTTTTATACATAAACACTGTACACCTGCAGACTGACATGCGGAGCTTTCCCACACTGTGGTACTCCTTACACACCGAGTCCACTTCAGTCAGCATTTGAAATGTTAAAACAACGTCTACAAACAGTCCCAGGATGGCAACCATAGGAAAGATGACACTCCTCTCTACCTCACTCCTACAAAACCACCCGTCCATGAAGTGGTCCCACCTCAGAGAGTCTCTCCGCAGGCAGCCCCTTTGCAAGGTGTTCTTAGCAGGAACACTTTCAACCTGCCCAAACATGCCTTCCATTTTCCTGGGCATTCTAAACTCTATGCGAAAGCGGTGTACTGCGTAGATAGTGTAGTAGAGGTGCCACTTCAAAATTAATATTTTAGCATTTTTTCTGTTGCTGTGTTGTGCATGGAACACAAGCACTGACTGCATGCGTCGCAAGCACTTCACCACCAAGTCACATCACTAGCAATGTTAAACCTTTCTTTCGATCTTGGGGCCTTATGAACATCTATCATGAGCTTGGTGATACGGAAACGCACCTGAAAATAGGAATTTTCCGTCATCATGAAGACACAGAGGCCCGAGGGGATACACTGCGGGGCCAAAACCTTGTATCACAGACATTTATAAAACTCAGCTTTAGCAGGCCTGCTGCTGGAAGGATGCGACCAGGGACCACCACACCACTGCAGGTCCAGCTTGACCCCACACCGGAACCAGGCATCTGCCCACGACCCTTGTTCTTTCCACAGTTGGATATAGCTGCAGGCTGGAGCTGACTGGGACCATGCTCCAGGTTGAAAGGCTGCCCTTGGGAGACAGGACACTGGGGACCTAGGCTAGCCCAGCACCAGCCAGAGCAGGACAGACAGAGGATGATGCAGTTGCTGAGACCGAGAAGACCTCAGATTCTAGAGCTGAGCAGAAGGTTCCAGGGACACCACAGCCAGTTCCACATCTGTAAAGACCTCAGCCTCATCCCGTCCCAGGGTATCCACCCCTCACAGTTACCTTTGTATGGCTCAAAGGTCTCCAAATGTCCTACCACGCAGTGAGCTGCCAGTAGAGGTCGCAGACTAAGGTGGTCTAAGTCAGCCGGGGTTGCTGTCAGTAACGAATACAGAATTTGGACTCTAGTGTGAAACTGAGGAGCCCTCCTGCCTCAGCCCACCTGACTGTATAGCCAGCCCACTCATCAGTGACTGGCTCCTCCTCCATGCCTGCCTTGTCAGTCAGGAGTGACAAAGAAAGGACCTACTTGAGAGCTGTTGAAATCATAGACTGTAACAAAGAAGCATGAACACCAGTTTTTCTCCCACGATGAGACCTGACTTAGCCTGAGGGATAATAACAGCTTTTAAGCAGTGTTCCTGGACTTTCAGTGCTGTCCCTATCTTCTTTTATTTTTTGAGACAGTGTCTCACTAAGTAGTTTAGAATGTTCTTGAACTTACCATATCGCTAAGGTTGACCTCCAAGTTGCAGCAATCCTCCTGCCTCAGCCTCCCAACTGCTGGGATCATAGGTATATGCTACAAAGCCCGGCTAGCCCAGCCTTCTTATGAGACTCAGTAGGCTCTTCCTGCCTGTTGCCCAGATGTCACCGTGCTCTGAGTTCCAGAGTCAGTGTCACAGGAGGAAAACACCTTTCTTAGCCATTTGGCCAGCGTAACATTGCTTCCTCTTCCACAGGCTCAATTCTGATCACAGGAAGAAACACGCCCCCGGTCATGAGAAAGTTTCACTTCTGAACAGAAATGCATATTGCTTGCTGAACATGAAACGATTCACCCACAGTCAATGGTGGGCTCATAATTCACTACCTACACTATCCAGGTATCACAGTCCTGACCAATGCTGAGCTGAGTCCTACCATTGTTCTCCAAGAGCAGATCCCAGTCCAAAGCCCAGGACGACGGGTTTCCTGAGTCACCACCCTGAAGAAATCTAGGGCAGCTTAGTCAACCTATAAAGAAAGATAAAGGGACAGCATCAAAAGGGCTTATGATAAAAGAAAAAGGTATTTCTAATCTTCAGGAAATCCCAGAGGTTTTAGGTTCTGTTCTGGAATCTAGGGGGAGAAGACTAACTTTCAAAAGAAAATTGCGCTATACACACAACTAATCTTAAGCTCACAGGCACGTATCTGAAGCAGGAGACTCCAAGGATGTCCCTCAGACACTTTTAAAAACAAGTCTACAAACTGTCCAAAAAACAGCAGTTATGCGAGAAATGGCACCTACCTCCTTCCACTCACACCAAATCACATGTACATATTAATGCTACAGATGAAAGAGATTCTCGGGGTGGGCTCACCGGGCAACAACTTCTGGAAGTTATTCTTTCGCAGGATTCATTTTCCTTCAGTTGATAACTGCCCCCTCTAATACTCCTTGCAGTATAAACTACAAGGGATCTATTTATTCACTGCATTGCTGTGGGTGTCACAAAGGGGTTTAAGCATCCTTGGCAATTTCTACCACTCTGACTTTTTTCCCAGCAACGTTAATCCTCTCCGTTTGTGTTCATGGCCTTTACTAACACCCTGCAATAACTCTGGCAATGTTGAAGCATTTGGAAATTCAGAAATTTATTATTATTATAGTAAAGCCCACGGCTGAAAAGACAACTTTTGGGTTTGAGACCCAAAATATTTATTAAACACTTCTTAAATTCAGCATCACCAGATGTCTTAGCCACTGTCCCATCTCAGGGACAAAACACCCAACACTTATAGCTTAAATGAACAGAGTTGGGTTTTTGCTGTTCACAATTTCAGTCCATGGTCCACTAACTCCTAGGCAAAACCAGGATGACAGAGGGACAGGGGAGAGGAAAAGGTGTTTAACACACAGCAGTCTGCAAACAGAGAGATGGGACGAGCTGGTATAAGAATACACTGTTCCTTCTCAAATCCCCTGTAACCTATCTTAAAACATCAGCAACTGAACTTGTCAATGGCTGTGATGAGTAGAAGGCACACACAACCCAGTCACCTTCCAAACATATGAGACATTTGAGGGACATTTTACATACAAACTATGACACCACGTCTTCAGTTGGAAGACAGAGTACCACACACCTCCATGCCAGCCCGCACACACCTCACAAGAGTCCGAGGTCTCCCCACCGCCCTGCCACTGTCACTGCACTATATGGTGAGAAAGCGGGGATGCAGGCACTCAGCTGCCCCAAAACAGGGCTCAGCACATGCTGAAGTTACCTCGGTGAGACAGGACAAGATGCTTAGATCTTGGCAGCTAAACTTGCTCTACCATGAGGAACAGGACATAGCAGGTACAGTTGACATACAAGAACAAAGACACTTCAGCTGATGCAGGGAGGCCCAGGTCCTGCCAAGACTGTCTAGTTTAAGGCAGACTTTATATCCCCCACTGCATCCCACCAACCTGTGGGCAGATGTATGCCAGGCCTCGTGGTACACACCTGTAATCCCAGCACTCAGGAAACTGAGGCAGAAAAGTCCCACAAGTTTGAGGTTAACTTGGGATACATAGTGAGTTCAATGCCAGAGTGAAATGTGTATTGACACTGTATCTCAAAACTGCCCCCAAATAAATAAATAAATAAATAAATAAATAAATAAAACAATTAGTGGTCTGGGTAACAAATACAAATTCAGGCAAGGCAAGAGATGGCTGCTTCTGTCAGTCTCAACACATTTAGTTGAAGTCTATGACAAAAATAAATCTTTACATGGAATTCAGAACTAACATCCCAAGGAACCCACAAACAGCATCTGTTTGATACACCACTGGCAAATTTACATAATATTGTCAAAATCTGTGTATTATTTTCTATAGTAATTAGGCAAATGCATACAATGTTTCTAAAGATGAAATAATTAAGAACCAAAAAAATGTAAAAAATATTGTATGCATACCTAACAGTTCTCTGTCATGCATGGGATGTCCTGATATTATAATAAGGTCAGTTGCTTCCCAAATCATATCATCAAAGCAATTCTTTTACATTCTCAATGAATCAGTACTGTATAAACTTGATTAAAATATTCTAATTTTTCTTCAAAAATTAAAACAGGGCAAAGATATACTATTCTTGTAAATATGCAGAAAAGAGTTGAATCTTTAAACACATCATACAAACACAGTCATTATAATTTTATTTAACTTGACAATTTTTATTGTACTAAAGCATAGTGGTCAAGTATAACTGTACATATTTAAAGTGCACAGCTGTTTTGATATATGGCTATGTTGGGAAATGATTACCACAACCTGTCTAGTTAGCATATCTATTAATAAACAGTCACCTTTTTAGCATGTGGTAGAAATGACTTATAAAATAAAAATTAAAACTATATGGGATATTGTATCATTCACCAGTCATGATGAGATATCTAGAAACTGGCTTTAATAAAAAT